AGAGAGATAGATAGAGAGAAAGAGAGAGAGAGAGAGAGAGAAATTTGGCGTGTAGATTCGTAAGGACTTTTTGGGTGGTGACGTACGGGGTTGAAATCACCTCGTTAGCCCTTTACCCGTCGCTTTTACTCCCAGCCATAGTAATCTGAGTCTGCGAGAAGTATAGAGAAAGAGAGAGAACGAAAGAGAAGAGGAAGAAAAAAGAAAGAAAGAAAGAAAAGGTTGTACCTTCGTCTCGACGACGAGCTAACTGTTGTTTTGTTCCAAATGGGAATCTTGATTGTGCCTTTGTTTCCAACCTCTTCTCTCTTTCTCTACGCCGTTCTCTGCCTCTTACGATCCTTCTCTCTACTGCCCCATGACAAAGGTTCAGCAGCAAGACATCACCCTTTTCCATTCCATTCCGCTTTGACTGACAAGAGCAGGTCCTGCCTGCTTGAACATTACGAGAGTTATTTGCGCGTGGCCACGACGACCGACGGAATTAAATTTCTTTTGTCCTCGTCTCTTCTCTCTTTTTGAGCATTCATTCATCTTCTTCTCCCTTTCCTCTATTTCTCTCTCTCTCTCTGTCTCTCTCTCTCTCTATTTCTTTCGTTTTTCTATTTCTCTTAGCGATTTTTTTCTTTCTGTTTTCTTTTTCTTTCTTCCTTTTTTTTCTTTTTCTTTTTTTTTTTTTTTTTTTCTTTTAGTTTGTCCCTCTTCTTTCTCATTTTCGTTCTCGTTCTAATTCTCGTTCCAATTCTCTTTGGCTAGAGGGTAAGATCGACCTATTCAGAAGCGAACGTTCGATGTGAACGTTCAAACGTATGCACTACTTGCACGCGATCCTCCTCCTATAATCGCCGTTTTAACGTTTCATCCCACGAATGGGATACTAATTCTTCTTCCTTTCTACGATATCATCTTTTTTTTTTTGCTATTTGTTTTTCCTCTTTTTTCCTCTTTTTTCCTTCTTCTTCTTCTTTTTCTCTTTTTCCTTTTTTTTTCCCCTACCTCCCCGAAGCCTTTATTCGTCTATTTGTCGTCGGACAAAGGAAACACGGAGAAAGATCACGCACGCTGCGGAATATATCGAAGAAATTGAAATGATCTCGAGCAGTGGTACTTTCATGCATACTGCGATACAAAAAGAACGAAAGTGGGAGGGGGGCGGGAGGTGAAGGAGATCTTTTAATTAGTCATTGGAACGATCGGAAGAACAGAATCGATCGTTGATGTGTGTGTGTGTGTGTGCGCGTGTGCGCGTGTTTAAACAAAAATAAAATGAAAAAAATAAATAAATAGAAAAGAAGAAGAAGAAGAAAAGGATGAAGAAAAATAAAAGAAAAATAGAAGAAGAAGAAGAAGAAAAGGAGATATTTCTATCGATATTTATGAAAATAGGAATATAAAAGAAAGAATAGAAAACGAGCTGGAGGAAGGGTGTTTCGATTGGAAAGATAGAGAAAAGATGGAGGATCGTTGAAAAGAACTAGGGATGGTAGTATAACTGCTAACGACACAGTTTTCGTCATGCACCGAGAGAAGAGAGAACGCTTAAGCCGTGGATTTGACTAGTTAGCCGTACGTGCTCAAGGAAGCGCCATGACGAGTCGAGGAGTCGGAGGACACTCGACTTCACCGCACTTTGAGATACTCGAGGACACCGGAATATCCAAAGCTACGCCGCCGTCAGGGGTAGCAAAGTCCACTTTGCCTTTCTCAGACCTTTCCTAAGTTAAGTGACCCCGCCAGACGTAAAATCATCGACGTATTATTCTCTTTTTCCTTATAATACTTATTTACTTTCGTCTTTCAATAATGAGAACGTCAATTTATCGAAACGAAATATCATTTTTCGTTTCGAAATCATCGTTCTGTTTCGACGAATAGAAAAATTATAAATTTATGATAAATCGAATATTCGGCTTAAAACAGCTCGACTATATTTTCTTTCTTCTCTCTCTCTCTCTCTCTCTCTCTCTCTCTCTCTCTCTCTCTTTTTCTCTTTATCCATCCTTTGTTTTCCTTCCATTTTCATTCGATTTTTTATCGCTCAATGCAACAGCACCGATAAGCGTTGTTGTTAATGCACCACGAAGATAATCGTATTTGCATTCAATTTGGTCGCCATTTTCGATATAGTCGTCGATGTTATATGATTCATCGATAACAGGCTGCATTGAAATATCAATGAGAAACTATATATATATATATATATATATATATATATATATATATATATATATATATATATATACATACTCATATGCATATATACTTAAAAACTGCATAGAAAGATATACCCATTGATAAACCGAAGTAAAAAAGTATTGTCGATAAAAAATAATAGATATTATTTGCCTTCGTGTAAAAAGTCGTATAAATGCATTTTACATATGTATAATAAATTATATATCTGATAGCGATTGTAAGCGATTAGATGAAAAAAAAAAAAAAAAAAAAAAAAGAAAAAAGAAAGAAAAAAAGGAAAAACAGAAAATAATTTTTATCGATTTTTCTTTTTTCTTTTTTCTTTTTTTTTTTTTTTTTTTTTTTTTTCTTTACTTTTTTCTTTTTCTCTTATTCTGAAATATTCATGATGGAATGTGCAAAACAACACACGGCGATTTCGAAAAGAGAGCCGACGATGAGAAGATAAAAAGATTGCATGGCTCGCACAGAACCTTGTGAAAGGTCGGATAGATAGAGTAAGGCCATCATTAAAGGACTTTTTTCTTAGTACGGGCATCGTCGATGATTCAGTCGTGTCCGCTTTAAAACGCAAGCAACATTCGACGTGGCATCTACAGCGACGTACGGTTTTGTCCGACATTTTTCTCTTTTCATCTTGAACGGGAGGCTGTAATAATCCTTCTGAATGTACACGTGCATGCGTTTCAATTGCGTAGAAGTGGATACTTCTACGTACTTACGTATGTGTGTTGTAGGTCAAGCTTAGGGTCGTACTGAACGATTTGAAAAAAGAAAGAAGAGAAAAATAAAAGAAAAAAATAAAAGAAGAAAAAGAAAGAATAAAGAAAAAAATGCCTGCCATGCGAAAGTCGCAATTACGCGTTTGCGATTGCACGCTCATACTAACCGCTTCTAACTCTTCCTCCTCCTTCTCCTCCTCCTTCTCCTCCACCTTCTCCTCCACCTTCTCCTTCTTCTTCTTCTTCTTCTTCTTCTTCTTCCTTTTCTTCTTCTTCTTCTTCGTTTTACTCATGCCGTTAGAATTAAGCCACGACAATGCACGCTTTTACGACTAATAACAGAAATTTCGTGAATACTTGACTAACAATTTCGCAAATACTTCGTATAATTCCTTCGTTACTCTCAAAACATTGTTCCTTACGTACAATTTTCCAGAACGTATTTTGTATAAATTACGAGGGGGAAAAGAAGGAGAAACGAAAAAAGAAAAAAAAAAAGAAAGAAAAAAAAAAGAAGAAAGAAAAAAAAAAGGAAAAAAAAAAGAAAAAAAAAAGAAAAAAAAGAGGAAAAGTAGAAAAAGAATACACGACTTATTCGTGTTTTATTCAACTGGGCTTATAAAACAAAGGATGATTAGTTTTTGAATTGACTTTCTCATATCTTTCGATCCTTTCGAACGAAGCTCCGCTTCAGAACAATTTTGTGGAAACACAGTTCTTTTTCATTCATTCTTTCTCTTTTTCGTTTCTCCCTCATTTTTGAAGTTGATCTTTCCTTTCGTTCAGACCTACTTTTTCTTTCTTTTTTTTTTTTTTTTCTCTCATCTGGTATAGTTCGTGAAAAAAGAGAGAGAGAGAGAGAGAGATAGAGATAGACGCGTAAAGGTTTCCGTTCTTTTACCCTGGGGAAGGAGTAGAGAAAATGGTCGTCGCAGCGCACCAGTGTTGCTCTTATTTTTCAGAGCGTGAAGCAAAACAAGAAGAGCGTAAGAGACGATACGAGACGATGCGACGCCCTACGTACGTATATACATTCGTATATACGTATATACATACGTTACATATATACATACGTTACATATTACGTATGTATCGTCTAAACGAAGAAAGAAAGGAGCAACATTCTTTATCGAAATGTAGGCTAGTAGTAACTTCCGCTAGGTTACCAATTAGTTACGATATTTTATAATTATTTTCTCGCGTACAAAGCAACTTAAATCGTCTAGCATGGCGATGATGGTGTTGCTGATGGTGGTTGTGACGATGGTTATATTAGTATGGTGGTGCTACTGATGGTGGTGGTTAATTATTTGAATCCGTTATGTTCTCGTTCTCGCGTCTTGAAACGCAATCCTCTCGTGTAATGCGAGACTATCTCTCTCTCTCTCTCTCTCTCTCTCTCTCTCTCTCTCTCTCTCTCTCTCTCTCTCTTTTCCTTTCTGTCTTTCTCTTTCTTCTTCTTCTTCTTCTCCTTTTTCTCTTTTTACACATTGAATGTAGCACGCACGTCGTGGACGGTGGCATTATGTCACGACCATTAGTTTTAACGAGCATCGACTCGAATAATTAGTATCACGCGGCCCGAACGATGACGATGACAATGACAACGACAACGACAACGCTCGACGACGACGACGATGATGATGATGATGATGATGACAAAGATTATATACAAGTGCGTTTCTTTTCAACGAAAAGATTCGTCCGATTTACTTTTCGTTTTATCGTCTTTGACGATCGTTTGGTAACATTTCATTTTGTTGATAATTGTCATGGACGATTTTCCTATATGACGAATTTGTAAAAGGAAAAACTTTTTCTTTTTCTTTTTTTTTTATTTTTTTTTTTTTCTTTCCTTTAAATCTCGACGAAGATCGAAAAAGAAATTGAATGTCAATAAAATGTATTAATTAAACATTTATACCGTACAATCTTCCAAATTTGTTTCCATCGAATTATAAAATAATTACGAAACAATGTTGTTTTTTTTTTTTTTTTTTTTCTTTTGTTTTTTCTTATAAATCTGAATGTTATGAAAAATTTAATGAAATTAAAATTATATATTTAAACGTTTCTCGCCTTAATGCTGATTCTCATTGTGTTAGAGGGTAAGAGGGGGTTCGTTCTTGCGTCATCGTTTCACAATTCACGTCGCTTTTCCCCGGAGTGACGAGAACTGGAAACGCACCATGTTAGATTACATTGTGCGCGACGAACGTGCATGGTCTCGCATACTAATTTCGCTTCATGTTTATGATCTCGTCGTGGAAGCCCAGACAATCCTCTATGGTGTACTCATCCACATTCTACATACTAGTGTAAAACGGAGATTGAATTATATTATCTATCTACGAAATTGAAAATAATTTTCAAAATTGGAAAATTTTTTCGAACGAACCACTTTTTGACTGAACCTTTTGACTTTCATTTCTTCCTTTATCCTTTTTTTCTTTGTTGTGATTTTTTCTCTTTTCTATTCTTCTTTTTTTTTTATTCTTTTTTCTTTTCCTCTTCGATTTAAAAAAAAAAAAAAAACCCCTTTGTATTTTTATTCCGAGAAAATGGATTTTTTTTATTACTTTTTATTTATTTATTTATTTATTTATTTATTTATTTATTTATTTAAATTTTTAATGATATCTTTCAGCAGATACGTGAAACTCTCGTTCGAAGAAAAATACTAAACTATAAATACTTACAACTTTCACGAGTTATTTCTATCCGCTTCTAATATGACCATTCTTCTCTCATTTTCTGTTTCAGGTAAGCTCCTTTCCACCGGTAAACGTATATTATAGATCTCTCACCATGATTTTCTTACTTTACACCATTAAATCACGTTTATAATAGGTAAGTCGTCGCTTAGCTAACTTTTCCGATCCTGGATAATCCTGTTTATTCGATTTAATTCCATTGTATTATATCTAAGTGAAATCACAAATTATATCATTTAATTATTATAATCAAATATTTTATCATATTTACATATATATATATATATATATATATATATATATTTTTTTTTTCTTTTTATAGAAATATATTAGAATTTATTAGAATCATATTAGAATTTTTATATGATCGCATTTATGAAGTTCAATAAAATTACAAATAATTATTATATATATATATATATATATATATATATATATATATCTTTGATAATTAAATAATGATATCACGAAATACAAAGACTGATTTCCATAAGCTCGAATATATACGGTATGCCAGGTAGAAATTGAGGACGCTCAACTTGTCCGTAGAGTTTGCAGTAAGTGTTCTACTAACGGTCAGAACATACTACTAGACTAGCAGTCTGCTTTGGAATGGCACTCGTGGGTTTGCTAATCGTAAGATAATAGCATTCGGTAACTCTGGTCGAAATAGTAATCGGATTCTCTAAGTTCGAATTAACAGCATTCTCTTTTATTTCTCGCTACTGTTATTTCGAAAGAGTACGTTAAAACTAACGATTCGTTCTTCGTATATATATATATATATATATATGATAACACGAGACTCGTCGTATATACGTTTTCTTTAATTTTTGAACCTTGAAATTAAATTTACCAATCTACCTATATTAAATATATATTTATTTATAATAGCATTCAATTTTCAAACAACAATACACGAATATTTTTCACTTTTTTTCCCTTAACACATAATCAAATATAATTAGATCAGCTAACAATACGTAAAGAGTCACTTGGGAGATTTCAATGCTTTCCGCAGGATTCCAAGTGTTACTAGAGTTAACCCAGTCACACTGCGGTTAGGTCAATTATACCAGTGCGAAAAATTGCGATGAAATTGGGTCGGAAAGCTAGGAAAGAAAGAAGAGAAGTGAGGAGAGCCAGGGAGAGCTAAAAATAGTACTTGTAGAGAGAGAGAGAGAGAGAGAGAGAGAGAGAGAGAGAGAGAAAGAGGGCTGCAATATGTAGAGGAAAAGCACACAACTGGCACAAAGGCCATTGATGCAAGGTACATGTAGGTAATTAGTCTAGCTCGTAGGAATTTAGATGGAGTCGAACTATCGACTGTGTGGCAACTTGCCCGACGACATGGCACGTATCGTGGTTTCAGCTTGTTCCTCAGCCATAATCCTTTCGATCTATCGAAGGAGAAGGAAGAACACAGAAGGAGACCAGAACGCATCGGAGTCTCATGCTCTCGTTATATCGCGATAATACAGGAGAGATTCGATTAACTCTAACGGTTCGACATCTTGTACATGTATATAATATATATATATATATATATATATATATATATATATAGAGAGAGAGAGAGAGAGGTATATACGTAAATATATTCGACAATATTGCTAAGAAATGAAACAGATTATATAAATATCCTTATTATTTTTTTTTCTCTATTTTTTTTCTATTTTTTTTTTTTTTTTTTTTTTTTTTTTTTTACTTTACTCTTTCTCTTTTGTTCTTCTTTTTTGCTTCATGGTCAAAGGTGAACTAGGAAGAAATTAAGAAGCGTATTACTTTGAAAAGATGCCTCCTCATCGACTAATTTGCACTTAACGGTTGTAAGAAAATTGTCTACATTATATAGCTTAAAGCGGTAACTTAGCTTCGCGGTATTTCCCAATCGTGATTCTAGTAAATGAATAGCAACTGGTTACGGAAAGTGAACACGATTATTTTGCGTGTTAAGGATAGGGACGAAAGGAAGAACGAACTTATCAATGGGAGTAAACGATCAAGAAAATAACGATTAGAAATTAGATACAAGGGATCTTAAGAGATTCTAACAAAGTAGAGACGAGAAAAATAGAAGAAAAAGAGGAAGAAGAAGAAGAATAAGAAGGAAAAAAAAAAAGGAAGGGTATTAATGTTGTTTAGCAGTACGTGATATATACAAGACTCAAGTTAGATCGTCGAAAGAAAAAGTCGGGATCGTTGGCTCGTTTCATTTCGAATCTTCTCTTCTCTCCTCTCTCTCCCTCTCTCTCTCTCTCTCTCTCTCTTTCTCTTTCTCTTTCTCTCTTGGCTAGCTTCTTTTTATCGATCTTAACAGTTTTCAATTCCATACGAGAGTTCGTTGCGAGTCTTACAAATACTATTAAAACTACGTACGTTCTCACAATGTTTCCAAGTATTCTTTGGGTACACACATGCACACATACACACACAGTTTTATGTATACATATATACATATATCGTATGTATACGTTATATACATATATCGTAAACCGCATGCGGAGATATTCGAGCGATTGGTGCGGACGCACATGGGCTGATACGTGGCTAAAGTGGCACGTCTTGCAAGAATCCTAATTTGGTGAGAAACATGCTCGGTGCCTTTACCCCTGTATCCACGATTACTGCTTACGACGACGATTACTGCGTTAATCTTTCAACCAATAATCTTTTTTCTTTCTTGCTTCCTTTCTTTCCTTCTTTATTCCTTTCTTATTATTTTTATTATTTTTTTTGTTTTTTCTTCTTTATCTTTTTTCAAACAAAAGAAAAAGACGTACAATGTTCGGCTAGGACAATGTTCGCCTTATCGTAGAATCGATAGTTTTATAGATCATTTTGAATTTAAACGTCTCATAGATCACTTTTAATGATCGAGAATATGCGAGATTCGCGTCTCGGTAATGGTCAGCTCGTATTCGTAGAGAAGACTTAATAATAATTCAACTATGCTTAACCACCATCCGCACGCAATTAAGATGCCTCGTTACGTATACCAACTTTATTCTTTATCGCCTACGTTAAAACGCTTATATACATAGTTGTAGTTACTAAAAGCATATTTATGATCATTCTGATGATGACTTAATAGTTACGAGAACGACGTTTATCACATTTTATTCTTTTTACACGTTATATCTATTTATTAATCCTTATTCATGATCGAAACCTAAGAAACTTTAATAACCATTATGATCTTTCAAACGATGAAAACATAGAATCTATTACTATTACTATTACTATTAGTTTTCATTCGTTCGATTCACAAGAAAAGTGCACTCTCGGACTCTTACTTTTTCTTTCCTTCATTCTTTCTTTCTTTCTTTCTTTCTTTCTTTCTTTTTTTTTTCTTTTTTTTTTTTTTTTTCTTCAATTCTTTCTCTTTTTTTGCTCTCATCCTGAATTCTATTTCTCGCGAGTTATTCTCCAAGGGAAAAAGAGATTTAGAAAGAATGATGAAGAAAGTGAGAAAAAGAGGGAACACAGAGGTATGAAATGATGAAAAGAAAAAGAAAAAAAAAAAAAAAAAAAAAGAAAGAAAGAACGATGATCCGTTTCCAATAGATTATGCTCTATGACCCTTCTCTTTCGCTTTTTTATCGTTTTTTTTTTTTCTTTTTTCTTGTAAGATATTTTCTCACTGCGATGAACGCCGATAATACTTTTACGATCGAACAACACACTCTTTTATTCGCGAGCATTAGAAAGAGAGAGAGAGAGAGAGAGAGAGAGAGATAACCAATGTATTTGATATACGGATAATTAAATTTTCTATTTTTTTTTTTTTTTTTTTTTTTTCCATTTATTTCGCAATCGGTAGATTATTTAACAAAATGATAAATCCTTCTTTCTTTGTACAAACTGTTTAAAATTAAAATGAGATAAGATGGGGTGAGAAGTGAATTAGGTTGGGTTCTGTTAAATTCGTAAAGTACATTCGTCAGGAAGTTTTACATTTCCGCTTGATGTTATTCAGTGATATATATAAATCACGAGCTGGCAGTTATTGCCGTGGCATTGTTAAAAAACAAAAAAAAAAAAAAACAAAAAATAATGAAAAAGAAGAAGAAGAAAAGAAGAAGAAAAAAGGAAAGAAAAATTGTAATCTCTCACGTTCTCTCTCACGGGTCTTTCTTTATGCTATGACCTTACTCTAGAAGAAGTAACCAATAGTCTCACGTAACAATAGACGATGAAGATCTATTGTGAGAGTCATTTACTACTAGATACAACAATATATCTTTCACTTTTCGAAGAATACTCGCTAAACTCTGCGAAAGTTGGAAACAATTGTTAATATCGCACATCGATTCAAAGGTTCATAGACTTTCTAACAATAAAAAGATTACCATTTTCTCTCTCCCTCTACTCTCTTTCTCTCTCTCTCTCTCTCTCTCTCTCTCTCTCTCTCTCTCTCTCTCTCTCTCTCTCTCTCTCTCTCTCTCTACATATATATCTATATCTCTATCTATCTATCCTCATCTATCTATCTAAACTAAATTATCTTATTATTAATATTTAATAGGCACAAGATTGCACTAAAGTGAAATTCTAATAGAACAGAGAAGATACCTTTGTGTGTCTCTCGCTTAGCGTAAGTTTACATAATTGCATTTATCTCGTATGACGTATTTACATATGTAGACGAATACATATAGAATATACAGTCGGTATATACTTACATATACATATATATATATATATAGATCTGCATATATCTACATAGCTGTCTATAGAGACACCTATACGAATGTTTAAAGTTGCCTCTGTTGCTAACGAAGGGATGGAAGGAGCGGTAGTGCTAGAAAGGACGAAGCCGATGCTTTTCTATGCTATTCCTCGACAAGCCAAACGCAACATCACGAGGAATACAGGAAGAAGAAGAAGAAGAAGAAGAAGAAGAAGAAGAAGAAGAAGAACAACAACAACAACAACAACAACAACAATAACAACAACGAGCACGAGGATGGCGTAATTGTACTCTCGTAGCTTGGCTCGCGCGCTTAACGAGTCGTAGACCTTGTCAGATCCGTTAGGTGCATTATGCTTACGTTTAACACAAGTCGCCACACTGCAACTCTCCTCGATCTCTATACCTACGTCATTGAAACATGTTAGGTTATCGTTCTTTCTGTCTTTCTCTTACTCTTTCTTTCTCTTTCTTTCACATACATTCTTTCTCTCTCTCACTCTCTCTCACTCTCTTTCTTTATGTGTTCGTCTACGAATGAGCATAGACATAAGTACATAGTAAGGGCGAAGGGAAACGTGCGCGCTTAGCTGTTATATGCTCCGTTTACACGTGTCACTCGTATCGCATCACACGCCATTACCCTCCCAACCTGCAACGGATTAGACGTGTAGAGGATCAGAGAAGGAAGGAAAGACGTCGAGCGAAAAGGGATTTTACTACTACAGAGGGAGAGAAAGAAAGAGAGAGAGAGAGAGAGAGAGAGAGAGACAGAGAGAGAGAGACTAAGTGAGTGAGAGATAGATGAGATAGAAGAGGGTTGCCAAAGGAATAGAAAATAGAGGGAGAGAGAGGGAGAGAGAGAGAGAAAGAGAAAGAGAGAGGTAACTGTCTTTCCCCATTCGTCTCCCTTCAACTTGGTTGGTTCGTTATCTACGGTTCAACAAACTTCGAATCGCTGCACCTGCAACTGCTAATGGTTTTAGCATTGCAGTTTAAACGTTAGGGTTGCAGGGTGTGTGTTCTAACGTAATGCCGCAACGATGAATGAGCAAAGCTATCTTGAAACGTCTTTGAGACAGAATATCCTAGATATTTTCTCTTTGAGATCAGATAAAGATAAAAGTTATGGAAGATGAGATTGTTTATAATTTCTCTTTGAGTTATTTCCATATCTCTCTTTTTTCTATATAAATAAATAAATAAATATATATATATATATATATATATATATATATATTTTATTTTTGTTCTTTTTTTTGGTTCTTCATTTTTTATCATTATTATTATTCTTCCTTTTTTCTTTCTTTTTTTTGTTTCATCTTGAAATTTTTCATTAAAACTATTCAATCGGAAAATCTCCTAATCCATCCTGTTAATTTAACGATAAATTTGTGTCCATTGAATACGTGTGTCATATTTTACTACCATTCATATGGATATTTACCTCTGCCTAGCTATCAACGAATCAATTTTATTCACTATGTATGCGAACTAATACTACTACTACTACTACTACTACTACTACTACTACTACTACTACTACTACTACTACTACTACTTACTATTTAATGAAAGATTTTTCGTTTTTACGTTCTCAAAATCGTAACTCACTCGTTCGTGGTACATTTTTAACGATAACGATATCTCGATCCACTATGGATATAACTGTACTATAGTAGATAGCGATATATATATATATACATATTATATATATATATATATATATATATATATATATTTCGACGACGGTGATCGTAATTGAATTGTTCGGTTATCGACATTTCACGTTGGAACTTTAATCGGATAAAACGGCGTGCGAGTCCTCTACTTGTCGCAATATCGAACGAGCCGTTCGTTTCAATTCAGAGACAGAGCACGATCGGTAATACGAAATAGAATGGTCTCAGTTAATACCCATTATACGATCGAAATCAACGCAACTACTGTGCACATTGGTCAGATCCAAAATGTGTTCGTGAATAAATCGACGGGATCGTACTCGCGGAAAAACCGTACGTAAATCCGATCATCCAATTCATTCATTCATTCATTCATTCATTCATTCACGATTCACGTGTCTTCGTTTAAATATTTTGTTTTTGACAACGACGATGGCAACAACAATAACAAAAGCAAATGTATAAAAATAAAAGGTAAAGGAAAAAAGGGAAAAAAAAGAAAAAAAAAAAAGGAAAAAGGAAACGAAGGAATTGCGAGATTCTCGCGTCACGGAATTTATATTTTCCGCTAGGTAAAGAATCCATTCGAAATCGTAGGAACTTTCGAATTCGTATATAAATCGAATCTTTTTTGCTTTTTAAAACGAGAAGGAACGTTTTTGAAATGAAAACACAAAAAAGAAAAAAAAAAAAAGAAAGAAAAGAAAAAAGAGAAAAAAGAAAAGAAAAAGCACACATAACAGATATACACACACACACACACACACACACACACACATACACACACGACAAACAGCGTGTTCATAAAAATGGAATCTGTACTGG